CACTTTGACTGTCCATAAACGTCGTGAGCACGCGAAGGCAAAGTTATATATATGTACACTGTCGGCAGGCATTTGGGGCGACTTATGGCCGAAGTAATGAACCGGTACGGCCAACTGACCAACGATTCCATTTCTTCCAGGCTCAGACCCCCCTTTATTCCCAAAAAAGTAATATATTACCAAAAGAAACACTGGGCTGCCTAACGTTTCCAACCACCCACTCACCGTCTGATGGCGGCCCGACTTGCCCCTGAAGATGGTGGTGGCGGTGGGGCGGGTGGTGATGGTGCGTCCAACAGCGGCCCCAGCAAAGCCAAGTTACCGAGCGCAGGGGAAAAAAAGAGGGAGAGTATCCTCACGAAGGGGACAGAAGACAAAAAATAAAATTAGAAAGTAGGACGTTATATTAACTCAAACGCGTACGGTCTTACGAACGAAACTCTATAGACCCGGTGTCCGATTTTTATTCGTTTCAATATTACATAGAAAAGAGGACGGCAGGGGACGGGACGAAGAAGGGACCGCAATTCAACGCGCAAATTAAGAATCAACTGCCAAAGTCCTAAAGCGACGTCGGGAGTGTTGTACGTATGAGCGTTTGTATGTGTGTATGTACGTATGTATGCGTGACGGCAAAGGCCACATGCTGATGGGATGGGCAGTGTTCAACATGGTATGAACGATCCATGTCCATACCGAAATCTGGACTGTACCTACACCTGTATTGCAGCCATATATTATACTTTACACATATACCAAAAACCCAACCCAAAACATTATCCCCAATCACAAAGCAGCAGCTGATAACATCCATTAGTCAGGCAATAACCTACAAAAACATACGTCTTCCCCTTTAGGGGAACTAAAGGGGAAGAAGGGGACAACTAGGTGCGGAGCACCTACTATCTATTGAGCCTAGATGACGAGTACCTACTATCTATTGAGCCTAGATGACTATCTATTGAGCCTAGATGACGAGTACCTACTACTACTAAGACTACTGTGGCCTGATGGTGTTGGTTGAGGTGGTTGTGGGGGTTAGGATGGTTCGATAAGTGGGCGGTAGGACTATATCTGCTGTTTTGCCGGTGGTAGTGGTATTGCTGTTGATAAGTCGTTTTTTTCACCGTACTGGTGCCGTACGGGTGTTGTACGACATCACGTGCAGGAGTGGCGGCTGTACATCATTCAGGAGTATGCTGACGGCGGGCCGCTGAGGAAGTTGTACGGCAATAAGGCCCTGTGGCCGTCGCCTGGCGTGGTCAACTTGGTGAGAGAGAGAGAGAGAGTATTTGTGGGTTCCGTCGCCATCTGTCTGTCTGTCTGTCTGTCTGTCTGTCTGTCCATCATCAGTTGACGTGAGGGGTATTGCCAAAAAGAGAGCTTGACAACAGGAAGTCGTAAATCTCATCTCATCTCTCTTTCCCAACCCCCTCCTTAAGGTTTTAGGGTTTTTTAAAGATAGATTTTAAAACCCTAAATCCCCCTCCCTAGGACTCCCTTGGCAGTTTTGCACTTTGAACGCCGGCCCCTTTGGGGAAGAAGACGAAGGGGTTACCGAAGTTCTCATTCCTTGTTCCATTCCTTGGTTTTGATCCCCCTCGCCCTCGACC